AAATGGCATGATTAATGTTTGGCGTTTATTCTTTTAAGCCATACAAACCTTTATTTTAATATTCATTTCATGTATCGAATTTATAGTTTGATAACTTAATATAATCGAAGTTATATTGTCCATGGTCTAGTGTATCATTCTCATAAATTATTAATTAGTTATATTAGAAAAAGATAAATAAATGTTGTGAGTCTATGATTTTAATAAAAATTAAAACTGATAACTGTAATTGATGAAAAAAAATTGGATTTCAATAAATCGATGTCTTTACAAAATAACGATAATAAATTATAAATAGTAGTTTTTTTTAAATATAAATAGTACACAACTCAATAGGCATAATTGTAAAAACTACATATTTTTATTTTTATCATATATTTTATGCTTAAAGTTTCATATTACATATCTTAATATACAATGCAATGAAAATTGTTGGGAAAATGACATAAAAGCCCTAAGTTTTCACACAAAATGTCGGTTTTACCCTTGGACGTGTTTTAGGTCCGTAAAACCCCGAAGTTTTGTTTAATTTGTTCATTTTTACCCTTATAGCCGGTTTCCAGGTAACCTATCGGTTACCTAATACCAGTAAAGCCCTTGAATTTTCAAAAATGTTTGGATTTACCCTTAAGTTTTTTCAAAAATGTTTGAATTTAACCTTACATTGATTTTTATTTTGATTATTTTGATTATTTTGATTATTATTATTATTTATTATTATTATTATCATCATCATCAGTTTTTAACACATTTTTAAATGTATAAAAAATATTTATACATACATTTTCAAATGTATAAAATATTTTTTACTAATATAAAATATATTTTTAAAAATATATATACTTGTATTTAGTATTTATATACATCTGAAACCCCCATGTATTCCTGTAGTAAACGTATTTATATACTGAAAATGTATTTATTTGTATTTAGTAGGTATAAATATATATTTATTTCATATAAAAACATATTATATACATATAAATATAAAATACCTATTTATATGGTTTATATTATATAAAGATATAATTAGATGTATTTGTACATATTACCAAGTATACATATGTATTTTTTTATAATTATATGCCTACTATAGTTTTTATATAGAGGAAAATACATATTTATATCTATTAAATACAAATCAAAATAATTTTTAAATGTATAAATAGGTCTTTAAATGTATAAATACACTTTTTTCTTTTGTATCCTCCATCTAACTATGTTTGGAAATGTATCCCTACGTTTTCATTTGTCTTTCATAGATATAAATCTGTGTTTCCTTTGTCTAAACCCTCTCTTATGCAAGTGTCTGAAATAAATACATCTTTATAGTTAGTAATATGTCCAAATACATATAAATATATCTTTTATCAATATATTCCCTATAAATAAGTATTTTATATTTCTAGTATATAATATATTTCTATATGAAATAATATATATTCAGACCCTACTATATACAAATAAATACCTTTTTAATATATAAATACGTTTTTATGGAATACATGGGGATCAAATGTATATAAATACTAAATACAAGTATATATATTTTTAAAAATCTATTTATATTAATAAAAATATTTGTATACATTTAAAAATGTATGTATAACATTTTTTTATACATTAATATGCATTAAAAATACGTAGTAATAATAATAATAATAAGAATAATAATAATAATAATAATAATAATAATCCAAAATAAAAATCAAGGTAGGGTAAATCCGAACATTTTTGAAAAACTTAAGGGTAAATCCGAACATTTTTGAAAATTTCAAGGGCTTTACTGACATTAGGTAACCGGTAGGTTACCTGAAAACGCTGCTAAAAGGGTAAAAAATGAACAAATTAAACAAAACTTCGGACTTTACTGGACCTAAAACACGTCCAAGGTAAAACCGTCATTTTTGCAAAGGTCGAAAAGACTATCTCCACAGAAAAACGTGTGAAATAGCCGACATGAACTATCTTCCGCTAAAAGAAAACTAATCGTTGTGTGGAAAACTATTTGCTGAAAAGAACGAGCTAGAGTCGCTGTATCGCACGGGTACCCCCACTACTATATATAATTTTATAAAAGGAAGAGAAACAGAAAGCCTCATGGTCGATACAAATATAAATTCATTGGAGATGAACAAGAACAAGATTTAACGTATGGAGTTGGGAAAGAGAGGAAGAAAAGTGTCTTGGAATAAATTTTCGGTATATATATATATATATATATATATATATAATATATATATATATATATATATATATATATATATAAAAAGAAGAGAAACAAAGAGCCTCGTGGCCGATACAAATAGGAATTCATTGGAGATGAACAATAAGAACATGATTACGTATGGAGTTTGGAAAGAGAGAAGAATAAATGTCTTGCAATAGACTTTCGGTGTACTTGTTCATATTAGAATGTTTTATAGCTTCATAATAGAATTTTTCTATTAATTTTGGTCATATTAGAATATAGTATGTTCAACATAACAAAGTGGTGTTCACATTAGAATACACTATGTTCATTTTATAGTATAATGTGTATTTATTAATAATTTTTTATTGTATGTTTATATTAAAATTCACCGTGTTTTTTTTTTTTTTTTTTTGTAATATAGATCATTAGAGCTAACTAACAATAAAAACTAAAATGGTTTGTATCATTAATTGCTTCCCCTAAACTCTATGATTATTGGTCATTCTAAAAGACACGTTATGGTTGCACCAAACGTTCTATAGCGCACGACATGGTTGCATCGTCTCGAAAACCTAATCGCGGCAACATTAGACATCACCATTGAGTTTTTCAATAAGCCAAGTTTCGTTATGGTAATGGATTCTTTCACGACACTATTTTTTTTTTCTGTTGATTAGTTGATTATATGTAGATCAGACATCAACCATGATTTTTCTCTTTTGAACTTTTTGTTATTAGGTAGTTTTTTTTTGAAAAAACTTGATATATTTATAATACACTTTGATTGAAAATGAAACCATTATGAGTGTATATTCGAAAATCTATTTTTTGTCCATTCGTTGGTGTATTTGTAATGTTTCTTTTCTGTCTTTGTAGACTGATAATAAAAATGGATCCATATTTTCCACCTTTCCCTTCATGCTATCGAGGACCCACAAAAAAAATAAAAAAAATAAAAATAAAATATAATAGATATATATATAATATATATATATATATATATATATATATATATTTTCTTTTTCTATTTTTTGTAGATGTTCTATGAAATCTTAATATAATAAGAAAGAAAAAACATCATAACTGGTCCCTGTGGTTACCCAACATCTGAAGTTTAGTCCCCGTGGTTTAAAAACCTCATAGATGGTCCCTGTGTTTTCAAAACTTTTAATGTTTGGTCCTTTTTGCTAACTCTGTTAGTTTTCTACCCCGTTAATGAAGGGTATTTCCGTCATTTAACTATCCCAGGACCTTTTGCGGAGGTTTTCTTTTATTTTATTTTTTTTTAAAAGAAAAAAATAATTAAATTTAATATCTTGGGTTCTCTCTCCCTCTCTCTCTCGCTCCCTCTCTCTCTCTCTCTCTCGCTCTTCCTCCAACCCTCCTACCTGCAACAACCTCACCATTTCCTCTTCAATATCCTTGTTCATCATTAACTCCAAATCAAACACCTCCACCATCCACTCCTCCTGGACCACCGACTGCACCCACCGTGGCAAATCCACCGCCCCACCGTACCCAATCCCACCATGCTCAACAATCGCCGGACATTTCACATTCAAAAGCTTCAACCTTATCGTCGGCATCCCCCCTCGTTTACTCAACCTCCTGAGGATTAAACCCCACTGTCGGTGAACACACTTCCGCGGAAACATCATTCCCTTCAGCAACCCACTACCCTATTATCTCATCCATGAATCGATCTCAAAGAAACCCAATTGATGTTGATTTTTCCGACGAATCTGAGTCTCCTCCTCTACCCCTTTCCCTTCAATCGACTTGCAGTCGTCAACCCTTTCATCTAGGTAATGCAAAGTCTTCTTGCTGCACCCACCAACTTGATCCACATCAGGTATACACCCTTTAATTCCTCCTTTTCAGATCAGCTCATCTGAATTCAGTTTGGTTGACCTTTTTACAGACACACCTGGACCAAGTTTTCTAGTATGTGCAACAAAGCAATAACCCATTTAGGTTTGCATCTCTGTGTGTCTTCTTTCTTCCCAACCCCTAAATCTTTTCTTCTTCTTCTCTTTAGGATTTGATTGATTCGATTTCATATCTGGGTATCTATCGGGCGAAAACCACCACTCCACATCTAGGTATCTATTAGAGCTTCATTTGTTTTTTTGGTTCCAAATCATTCCAGAAACGAAAGCCACTCCTGAAATCTGGGATTATTCTAGATCTTGTCCCAAAACAGCCCCTCTTGATGTGTGAATTGTTTGATGCAGATGGGTATTTGGTGTATAAATAAGAACAAAACAAGAAGAAGGGAGAAAATGGGAAAGGAAGGGTTCAAAACGATGAATAGTGTTGGGTTTTATTTTTCTGGTTTCTTTTTCTTTGTATGTTTGTTTGCAGAAGGGTTGGGATGTATTTAATTCTCTTCCAGAAATGATTTCAGATTCAAAAAAGAAAAATTGTTCCAGAAGCGATTCTGAATTCACTGGTTTGGGGTTTTGTCAATGTAGGAGAAAGGGTGGGTGGAAGGCTTCCAATGCATTGTAGACGGCATAGGATTGATCCTTGAGGTTACTTTATCGATTATCTTGGTAGTGGTGGTGGTATGTTTATATGTGTGTTCTTGATTATTGAAGAACAAACCAATATATGTGTTGGTTGCTGACGAGAGAGAGAGAGAGAGAGAGAGAGAGAGAGAGAGAGAGAGAGAGAGAGAGAGAGAGAGAGAGAGAGAGAGAGAGGGAGAGAGAGAGAGAGACCTTTTATATATTTAATTATGTTTAATTTTTTTTCTTTTTTTAAAAAATATGAGCAAACATCATAAATGGTACCTGGTGGTGAAATGACGAAAATACCCCCCTTTATTAACGGACAAACTTAACGGAGTTAGCAAAAAGGACCAAACATCAAACAGTTTTGAAAACACATGGACCATCTATGAGGTTTTTAAACCACGGGGACTAAACTTCAGATTTGGGTAACCACAGGGACCATTTATGATGTTTTTTCTAAAAAGAATTAAACGTCTCTCTTTAATAATGCATCATGACCTCCACAACACTTGATAGTTGATACACCAAGCTTGCTGCATTCCCATTTCTTTAACCTTTTTTTCTAATTAAATATTAAATCCCACTTAGAGAAATCATGGTGTGTGGTTGATCATTGGCCACTTGACAGACTTACCTTTCGTTGTCTTTAATTATCTTTCTATGACTCCATGTAATACTAAGCATCCTTTAACCATATATTTTTCTTTTAAGTTTTGCTATTATAGCCACGAACTTGTACCCTTGTTTTTTGAACATACCCACGTATCTGGTAAACATTTCCATATTTCCAATAAATAATTATGATATTTATTTTTAAAAACTTCCTAGAAATGAAAGTACAATGCTATTTTTTTTGCATTTGATTTTTAAAAACATATTGTATTGAATCATATAGGGCTAATGTCATAAAAACCCTCAAGTTTTCAGGGTTTTGTCGGTTTTGCCAAAAGTTGAATTTTATGTCCGTTTTTACCCTAACATTTTCCAAAAAATGTTCGGTTTTACCCCGTTTACCACCGGTATAAAGGTTACCATTATATTAACTTCTAGCTTCGCAAAAAACCCTTAAGTTTATAATTTTTTTTTTTTTTTTTCCGTTTTTACCCTTAAGTTTATAATTTTTTTTTACACTTTTACCCTATGTATTTTTTTTTCATATTATACGTATTCAAGCAGAAAAATCATATGAATATATATATATATATATATATATATATATATATATATATATAATTATGAAAAAAATATACTTAGGGTAAAAGTGTAAAAAAAGTTATAAACTTAAGGGTAAAAAACGCAAAAAAATGGTAAACTTAAGGGGTTTTTTTTGCGAATTTTAATATAATGGTAACCTGAAAACCTGTTATCACCGGTAAAAGGGTAAAACCGAACATTTTTTCGAAAATGTTTGGGTAAAAACGGACATAAATTTCAACTTTGGGCAAAACCGACAAAACCCTGAAAACTTGATGGTTTTTATGACATTAACCCAATCATATAATGCTATTTCCTCCTGCATTTAAACATACAAATGTATTGTCTTAAATACATATTTCACCTCAAGTACACTAACGACCACCAAAATAAGTGATTCGACCATGGTGGACTTACCACTAAAATTTTACTTGCATAAGAAAACAATGTCTAATTGTCCTAATCTCAAAAAAACTTCTACATCCAACAAACATCCTTTAAATAAGCTGAAAGTCATGTTGATTAAACTTGCAGAATTCGAAGAATTAATGTAAATGCTCAAGAAACTAAGAAGGGAATTAATATATTTTTTATCATGGGTCTCATTACCTTCCTGCCGATGTCTTCATGGTAGTGAAGGTCATAGATATATAGCTACTGACTATTGTTAGCTTCTCTCCGAGTTCCATCTTTAACCTTTTTTCATCCACATTGTGTTAGCATCTTGCACACTTCATAACAAAAACATTTATAATCATACCAAAAATTAGTCAATTAAAATCATTCCTTCAATTAAATAAACCATACTAAAAATAAGATAAAATGATCGCTAAAATCATGGACAATTTGATATTTTTTATAATTTTAGTATATATTAATTATAAATATCAAAATAAAAAATAAAATGGATTATAACTATAGAATGTATTGATTTGAAAAATAAAAAACTAAATTACATGTAAAAAGTCAAGGAAAATGATTTTTTTTCATATTATACCAAATTATAGCATTGTACTTTCAAAGTACAATGCGTTATAATGAAACATAAAACTGACAACTATTGACAAACTATTGCTAAATATAAGGTAATGTACGGTGAACTTAAAGAACGATCCAATCAAATGTTTCAAAAGTTGAAAAAAAATACCATATGTATCATTGTTTTTTATATTGGTAACCAAACAGTCTTTTTGGACCATAATGAAATATTTCATTCTCCGCCATTCCGCCATTCATCAACAGACACTAAAATGATTAATGGACATGAACTTGGTGTTTAGTTCTTGATCTACAAGTCTTGTTCTTCATTTTGTATTATACCTCTCGGCCTAAGAAGATCGTAAACAAACGAAATTATAAGGGTCCTTTTTAGTTCCCGAATTAGCTATAAAGCAATTTAATGGATAACTAAACTAAAAACGAATCAAACTTCTCACATGAATGCAATGTCACAACTCCAAAATTCAATTCATGTAAATCAATAAGAACTCGACCACCAAGGAAGCTGTTTTCCACTTCATGTGTGCCTTCTACAACTTCGGGTCTAATATTCTCTAATACATCAACCTACACACACCAAATTGCATTGATAAGAAAGCATAAACGAATAAAAGATTGTCATAATTTTTTATTATTTTTTAAGCTCAGCTGTTATTGGAAAAATAGTAACATACTTCTAGTTGGTTGGGAAAACTTAGATAATCATGACCAATCTTTTGGAAATCCCACTTTAAACACCTCACTAAATCACAAACTAGACATCATCCCCATAAGTAGATCAATCAGTATAACGACTTGGAATCACTGATAAATCTTTTTTATCGCTTCATAATAATGATAATGAACTAAAACATAAGTTTTACTTAAAGTATGGCAAGCATAACTCACTTACTGGGGGTTTAGCGAGGAACCAGGCTCTATGCCGGCAGAACTTCTGATCCAAAAGCTCTTCTTCTCGGGGCTCTCTGGCACTTTGGGACTCGCTTCTAACACCTAGGGGTGCTAGGGAAAGGCTTAGAGGTTTGGGGTGTTTAGGAGAGAAATGGATGAGATTGGTGTGGAGAAATGAGGAAAAACGAGTGCTATTTAGAGGCTGATGGAGTGCGCGTACGCTGGGCGTACTCAGTACACGGGGCATACATAGCCTTACACAGGGCGTACTCAAGCCATGTATCAGCATCGCATGCGAATCCGTGGCGAAGAAGGTGTGCCTGAGATGGTGCCACATGTCACCTCCGGAACTTAACCCAAAATTTAATTATCTTCTAAATTCCGTAACTTTCGCATACGAGCTCTGTTTTTGACGTTCTTTATATCCACACGTAGGTAGCGACGTGATCCACAACTTTTGGTTAGACTCTATCGGCTAATTTTGACTTTATTTTTAAAGTTATATTTTAATAGGCTTAGACAATTAAAGTCCGTTAAAAATTCATAATTTTGTCATCCGACATCCGTTTTCGACTATCTTTATATCGTTGAACTCCTATTAACGAGATCTTCAATTGTCGAATTGGTTGTGTCGGCTAATAATTGATCGATCTAAAATTCGATTTCCGGGCTGTGTACTGTTATGCTAAATCTTAGAAAAATCATAACTTCCTCTAACGAAGTCAGATTTGGACGTTATTTTTATGTACTTTCTCGGTTTAACGTATAATACAACTTTCATTTAGATGGATAAGGCTAAAAAGTATTTTTTTCAAAAATTTACTTTTTATGATACGCAACGCCGTGCCGGTTTTGTCTCAAAACTTCGACGGGTCATAACTTATTCGCTATAAGTCGGATTTTAGCGTTCTTAATATGTACGAAATACTTGTGACATATACTATACTTTGGTTAAGATTATTTATTTTAAATAATCTTCTATCAAAAAGTCATTTTTAACGCTTATTGTCTCTAAATTGATTAGCCCGAATCTGCAGACGTTACATGTGGCCCGATCA